ATTGTAATACGCATTGAGCATCTTTTAGGAAATGGAAATGCGCAGTATAAATGCTATTTATTATTATTATTATTATTTACTTCCTGAAGCCAGGTAAAATCACCTAACATGAAGTGGGCGAGCATACGACTGGTGAATCTCCCATAAGTAATAAAACATGGTATGAAAGGCCTACAGTGTACGGGGAGTTGTATGATCGATACAATGAGAATGTTCTTGTTTTCTTCAGTGCTCTGACTGAATTTCAGATTGAGGCCATCTGTAGTCAGGAGCAAACACACGCTCCCTTTTACAAACCAAAACAAAGGGTGTTCTGTTTATGCCCGGATCTTGCAGTTCAGCCTAGTCAAACCCCTTGTTTTGTGCTTCCTTTTCTCTTTTTTTTTGTGTCTGTCACTGTTTATATTACTTATTCTAAAAAAATTATTTTTCACACCTTACTACTACTGAGATTTAATATGTTTTTTTCCCTATTCACAGGTAAGAAGTTGAAAAAACTCCGCTGGGAAAACTGGAAGACAATGATTGTGTCTGTGATTATCCTAGGAGCGGGCTATTTGACATTTACTTTGCTTTACAATACACCAAGTGCTGAGGTGGCTCAGGACAGGTAGCATTTCATTTTAACAGAGAGTTACTTTATGATGTATGGCGCCATTGAATGTATGATTGGAAGTGTAGCTTTAGTTTGCAAGCAATGTATGTTGTCCATCTTGAAATATTATGTCAAATGTGTATGTATCAGAGTATGGGGTGGCGTTGATGGCCAAATGGTTAGGCTTCCGGACCCGTAATCATGAGATTGTGGGTTGGGAGGTTCGAGCGTCAGCTCGGTCCGACGTTGTGTCCTTGGGAAAGGCACTTTATATGAATTTCCCATTTGGCTCAGTCCTTTCGGAGATGGACGGTAAACTCGGAGGTCCCACCTCTTAAATAACCGAACAGTGTTGAATGGGGGTGTTAAACCATTACCATTTACCATTTACAGTCATGAGAGATAGCCATTGTTCATTTTAGTCTTTTTGCACGGTTTAATGCAAATTTATTTGTAAACTAAAGCCCATACCTCATGGTACCAATTGTTACTGTACACATGGCCTCTTCCCCCCCCCCCCCCCCCCACCCACCCATTTTGTGTTTCTTTTGGTCCAAATTCTTAATATTATAATGAGAACCAAGGTTCATATTAGTACAGCAACAGAACTATTTGTCCAAATAGCATTTGAGTTTGAATGACACCTACCTATAAGTAAGATGTCTTTGAAGTCAAGTCCAAAATGCATTCCTTTGGTTCCTACCCATGCCTTGCTTGAGTGATAAAACACTATGGACAATATCAAGATGTCTGTGGCTCAGAGTCAAAGGCTTATATTATCAGCATCATTCCACAAGACATGGGAGGGGGGGGGGGGGGGGGGGTTCGGTTCAGTTTTGAGAGAATTAAAGAAAAAGAGAGGGCATAAATCAGAATCATGGCTTGGGCACTCATCTGTTAATGGTAAAAACTGGCTACCTCAGAATTACAAAGTTCTATCTACTTAATACCTAGTTTTGAGAATATTTGACGTTAAAAAATTTGAGTTTCACAATATATCAAGCTTTTTCTAATGAAATTCTTTGAATTTGAATATCTTGATAACGACTCTGAATATTTTTACTATTTTGATAAAGCAGATAGAACATTTGGTTTCTGACCTCATATTCTTAGTAGTTCTAACTGAAAACGGCCAAAAATGCCAGATAGGACTTTTTAATTCTGAGGTGGCGAACAAGGAAAGAAATAGCGTTACAAAACAAAACTATTGCAAGATGTCCCTTACCTTGATCATGTCTTTGTTCAAATAATGACTTTATCTGGACACCCCAGAGATTGATTTGGGTGATTCTGTTATGATGCTGATGATACAATGCTTATAAAAAGAATCCTCATATGACCTCACGGTGAATCATCTCCTGTGATCGGAAGAAAACTTCATTACCCTTTTTTTAATGACTCAAATTCGTAGTGTTGAAATGCTCAACATCTCTTTGACCATCAGCAATGTCAAAATGAAATTTGAACTGCTAAATTTATATGTTTTGTGACAGTGACACTTTGTTGATGATGATTAGATCTTGGGCTTGGGTTTTTATAATATTTTACTGTTTGAGATGAATAAATGATATATGAAATAAAACAAAAGGTATTGTTTTGATATTTATACATATTATATTTATTACATTTCTTTTCACAGTTAAAGCAAAACAAGATATTTGCAAAAATTGACAAAAGCATGACAGTGTAGCATGGACAAAACCAGTCATCAGTTAATTATAACCCTGTCCGTACGTTGAGATGGAAAAGCCAGCTTCCTCTGGAAGCCAAATCTCAAAAAAGGACTCGAACTCAGGACCTCTGCTTCATCATAGGTACCCATATATATAAATCGAAATTCATTAATGACATACATTTACGCAAATGACCAAAGTAATTTCACACTATCATTCCTTTAAATTGGGGGGGAAGTCATTTCGTCTTTGAGAGATTAGAAATAACTTGCTTTCTATGACAAAGAGAAAGGCTAAACTAAAATACACAAGTGTTGTTGATGTGTGCAAGATGTTTGTTTAGGCTCAGCATGTGCCAGGGTCCAGAGAGAGCGGGTGGGTGGCCAGCACACGTATGATCATATGAGAGCACGCTGTCTGAGTTCGGGGGGGGGGCACGATTTTGTGATGAATACAGCAATGCATCCAGCTCTGACAATTACGAAGGCTGTGATAAGACTAAATATGAGCAGCTATGGACAAAGAAAAATGTGAACTGAAACCACAATGAACACCTTACATGCTGATGAAGTCCTTAAGTTCAGGTTCATATGGAAAAAACAACACAACGTGGAGCTTATGGAAAACTGATCAAGTTTGTGTTAATGTTAGTATTGTTCATGGGATTTGCCAAGGTTAGGGAAGCAACTGCTTTATATAAGCAAGCATTTTGAGGCACCGATGCTTCTATCCCTTTTTATTTAAGCCATGACACGATCAGAACAGATGTTCCTATTACCGTTATAACCGTTAAATAATTCTCCTATTAGTAACACATTTTTTTATAAATGGGAGGTTTGGCCCAAAGACTTAACGATAACTGAGTTTTGCTGAATCAAAAGAAACCACAACAGTGGTGATGAAACTTGTAGTACTGATGAGAATCTTATTGTGCTGTTTTAGACTAGAATGTGAAGCGTGCTGACAAAATGAGTTACTTCTTGGATTTGAGACCTATAGAAATAGATACATCACGCTTGTAGGTGATGTATTTACAATTTATAAGTATGAAATAATAAAAGGCATGTTGTACTTTAAGAATATGGCATTAATAGAAAATCTACACTTAATTTGACCCTAGTGTCGATTTTTGGCCAATACATTGTATCTCCATTTCTGGATTACGAGAAGCAACTCATTCTGTCAGCACGCCTCACATATAGTGCTGGTGGCCACCGTCGCATATTCAGACAGTCGGACTACGAGGACAAAACGTAATACCTCGACCCAAACAAAACTGATCTATAGCTCTACCGACATGGTCCCGTCACCCTCCTAGATGTATCTCTATAAAAGACTGTATTGGGTGTCATGGGATGAATAGCTCTCTTCCTCTGCACAACAAGTCTACCCATTTGACTACTTCTCAACACTTCTGTCGGAGTTATTCTTGGAACATGTTGCTGATGCAGAAAGTGAAAATCCCAAAAGACTGAGATGTCAGGCAGAGCTATGAAAACTTGATTTGGGTGTTTAAGGTGCAAAATCATCATGAGCTAAGTGAGCAAGTGCTTTCTGGAGCACCTTCAGTCATAAATGGCTGTCATTAATCATTAAAAGTGTTTATACATGGCAACTTTTTGTGACAGACATTGACTATTGACAATTCAATTCTGGCACATTGGCATTATGACAAAGAATTACATTACAGTTATTCAGTTAGCAAAATAATAAATATTGCTATTTGATGTTAAACTTTATTCATTTCTGTACACAGTGGAGTAATTCGTTTTAGCATAGGTGTCCTGGGATATTTTTACAGGGTGTCCAGCGAAGTCGGATTTTGGTCGGATATTTCAATCAAAGTCGGAAAAGTTGGATTTTGGTCGGAATCTTAAATGAAAGTTGGATTTTAGGGGAAAAGGAATCCCTATCAGCAGAAAATGTAAAAAAAAAAAAGACAAAAAAAGAAAGAAATCGAAGGGGAAAAGTCCAAAGTCCAGCTCAAAACGACTCAGGGCCTACACCAAGTTTTTCCCCAATAGTTTACAGTAGGTCTAGTATGATACTGTGTTGCTTGCAAGACTTTTGTTGTTGGCAGGGAGCGTTATAGATTGTGGACAAAAATCTTGCGAGTCTCGCAAGTGGCTTTTAGAAATTAGACCGCCCTGTTAGTTATTACTTGTCTGAACGCACCTCTCTACCGAGATCTTGCGTGTGTTACGAGACAGGAAGCGAGAGAGAAGAGAAAGGAAGAAGAAAGAAGCAATGTTTGAGTGTCTTCATTCTCAATGCGATAGTTTGGTGGTGAATAGCACAGATTCTTCATGGAAAATAAGAATTTTCTACAATATTGATCAGTTATTTCAGTCAATGTTTCCCGATTCCAACATAGCACAGAGATTTCAGTGTGAAAAAACAAAGGTGGGATACCTCTATCTACATTTGGAATTACACAGGCTATTAAGGAGAGCATCATGGCAGCAGTTAAGGATTGTCAGTATTATGTACTGATGTTTGATGAAAGGGAGTGCTTATTTAGGCCACATATGGCCTAAATAAGGTAAAGGGGGGGGGGGGGGGTTTAGCTTATTTGGGCCACAGGTGGCCTAAATAAGGTAAAGGAGGGGGGTTTAGCTTATTTAGGCCACACATTCTCAAACTACCCTTTTCAGGCAACTGAGTTCGTTCCACTTTCGTAATAGTGCACCTTTCTCATTTAGTACAGTTTTGTCTCTAGTGTACAACTTAAAATCATAACATAATGAAAATTGTAAGAACAAAGCACAATTAATTTAATACGCAAAAATTTGCTTTATCCCAGTGGTTGGAATGAGGCCAGATTTTTTCCTCATGGAAGGGCAAAAGCTAGGCTACCATTTTGGCACACTTTGGTCAAGTGAACAAATTAGCCTTATGGTCAAAACCTCGGAATGGACTTCCGGGTCAAATTTGGTGTGCAATATTATAAAAATCGTAGTACACAACGTGCCCGAGGGCACTCTCTCAAAACAATGCACTATGCACCCGCCGGCGATTGAGAGACTGGTCGAGGGTGCCGTATTCAGCACCTTTGCTGAATTCACAGAGTTGTTCGACAAATATAAATCAGACACAAATAGTGTATTTGTTTCCAAGCATGCAACAAAAGTCTCTTCGGCAAACAAGAGGGTAATGACTGCCGAAAAAAAATATCGAGATGAATGGGTGTACAGGAGCATCCAGTTCCAGTGCAAGCATTTTGGTGACTATGAATCCCAAAGCAAGGGTTCCAGACCTAATCAAGCGTAAGTTTGAATCAACTAGTTGTAGATCTAGATCTAGATCTAGCTCCTAGATCTACCATTTTTTCTACCTAGATCTAGAATCTAGATCTACCATTTTTTCATTAATTGATATGAAAGTGGCTATTCTCACGGGCCCGGAAGTTCTCGCAAGATCAACTCCTCCCCTCTTCTCTCTCTCTCTGTCTCTTTCTGAATACTGTCTATCAGTGTGGACGATCAAATTGACCAAAACAAAGTTTAAAAATGATGTTAAAAAACAAAAGTAAATTAATTTGGTTGTCTACAAAGATGCTACGGCTATTTAACTTTTCGAATCGAGCCGAACTACGCGGGTCGCCATTTTGTTTTGCCTGGAAGTTCTCGCGCTACTCCTCTCTCTCTCTCTCTCTCTCCACACAGGTGTGGCCTAAATAAGGTAAAGGAGGGGGGGTTAGCTTATTTAGGCCACAGGTGTGGCCTAAATAAGGTAAAGGGGGGGGTTTTAGCTTATTTCGGCCATATGTGGCCCAAATAAGGTCACCCCCCCCTTTACCTTATTTAGGCCA